TACGGTACCAATTTTGGCAAACCATAATACCGTACCGTACCATACCGATTCAAATTTCCGGTATCGGTAGCGGTACGGGCTCAATACCATACCGTACCGTACCGTGCCCACCCCTAGCAAGGGCCATACAAACAAACAACAGGAGGCCTCCCGACGGTAATTACCTCAGCTTTGACAAAGGACCCAGCTCCAAGTCCTCTTAGGCCAAAATCCGTTCTCACCAAGGGCCCAACCTCAAAGATTCCAAATCTGAAAACAAGGCCCAAGCTCCAGGTTTCGAACAAAGCAATTCCAAACCCAAATTTCACCAAGATTCTGCAGCTCCAGCTCCAAGCACAACACAAAACCAAACTGCCGCAACAGCAAGGACTCAAAAACAGCCCAGCCCAACCAAAAGTCTGCGCAAATTTGCTCAAGACACCCAAGCCACATGGAAAGCCCAGCCCCGAGTCTGCAAGGATTGCCCAAGGCCCGGCTCCGAATTGGGTTCAGCTCTTGTCCGAACTCCAAGTGCCTAGCCTTACCGAAGGCCTAGCCCCAAACCAGCCGAATGAGGCCAAAACCCCAAGCCCAACTACCGAAGGCTTCAAATCTATCTGTTGAAAGACAGAACCGCAAACAAAAATCTCAAGTTAACAAGACAAATCTTCCAAGCACCCTACACATATCCAAATTTCAAAAGGCTCAGCCCCCATTCTCCTTCTAAGAGCCAAGCCAAAGGGAACCTGCCGAACGGCAGGCTCCGTGCACAGGTTTTTGGGGGACTCACTTGTAACGAGCTAGCTCCAACTCCAAATGGCTTACCGAACAGCAAGAACCCAGCTCAACAAATCGCAGAAGGCTGAAATCCAGTTTCTCATTCATGGCCGTATGTCTTATTGGTCCATCATGCATTTGGGCTTCTCCTTTTTCTTTTTGGGGCATCAAATTATTATTATTTTTTTAAATTTTACTAATGAGGTGATGTGTTTTGAAATTAAAACTTCTTCCAGTCATTAAGAAACACTATTAGACTGAGACATACTGCGAACCATTTTTATTTCTTAAGAGCTAAATCATAAACTTTAAAGGTTACAAAGAGGAAGGAAACATCCAAACTTAGATAATATATGCATATACACACCAAAAGAGGTAAAATAGATTTAGGGTTTATTTCGCATGCACTTAACATGCAATTAAAAGAGATGCTTTTTTTCAGGGGTAAACTTCAATAAGAGACCTTAGGCCCAATATATGTGTAATCTTATAGTGAGAGAATCCAGCAGTCAGAAAGAGCTTTTCCCACTCTGCTTCACTACGCTCTTTGCCATTGAGGTCGACCATCATCAAGATATCCCACATGAGCTGAGTTTCAATTGATTTCTTATCCATCTTCTTATTATCTACAGACACATTTATGTCCAGGATGATAACCTTTCCTCCCCCATTTTTGCTCAGAATTGCTTCTCTACTCTTCTTCAATATCTTCACGCTTTCCTCATCACTCCAATCATGCAGAATCCACTGATCATTGATGCCATACATTAATTAATGGTTAATTACTTTAACGTAAGCCTTGAATTTGTACTCACAATCACATCCGTGCATAGAATTAGCGTATGGCACCTGCTTAATATACTTTGTACATGCATCAATTGGCATGTCATTGTTACTTATTCATTTATGAATAGTAAGGTTTGTTAAGATTTCAGAGAAACGGACCCGCGGACCACTACTAGCAACATCGATATTAATCCCAAATTAACCACCAGCTTAGTCCAAGCTGGTGTGGGGTTTATACAAAAGGGCATATGTTATACATTTTGTCTAAATTTCCAATGTGCGACTTTACATTCTTCAACAAGATTGTCTTTTCTTTTTGAGATTTATTATTAAACTCCATAAAAATTCCTTAAATACACAGCTCGGATTGAAAGCCAAGCAAAACAAGGAAGAGTTTAGAAAATTCTGCAAAGGCAAGTGTGAGATGTGTTTACTAACAAGAAAGTAATAATTAATTAGGAAATTAAGGAATAATAAAAATGAGAGAAATAATTGAGTTTTATAATTACCTTGAGGAAAATTGCATTTGCTGGGGGTATCTTCTCAAACATGTCTCCTCCAACAAAATCCAAATTGTGAGTCCCCTGCAAGTTTGCAACAACATGTGGTTGGTCAAAGACAGTGCAATTGATGTTCGGGAAGGCCTTGGCAATGGCCTTGGCCATGGTTCCTGTGCCACCTCCAACATCAACCAAGGAATTTAAACCCTCAAAAACTCCTTCACACTCTTCAACCACTGCCCTTGCTAGCAGTTGAGAGTCAGCCTCCATTGCTTCATTAAACAAGCTACCAAACTTTGGTTGCTGAGCAGCCAAACCCCAGAAAGGCCTACCATGTGCCATCTCAAATGGGGAAGCTGGATGATCCTGATTTCCATGATTGTTCATCTGGCACCAAGTGCCCATTAGATGAAATGGATCTGTTACTACTGGATCAAGAATCATAAGTAAAAATTGTGTGGTGCTTAATGGACTTTCCTTGAGGAGAAGCCTGGAAGCTGGTGTTAGTCTATACACCACAACAGTTTTTTCCTCCTCTTCATCATCAAGATCCTGATGAACAATATTCTCATTGTTGTTATTATCGTTTGGAAGAAGTGGTAGCTGAACTTGCTGGTCTTGTGCAAAGAAATTGGAGTGGACAAGGATTCGCATGAGGCGTGCGATGAAATGAGCTTTCGAAGGGTGGACATTGAGGCCGGAAATGAGATTGGAAAGGGATATGGGTTGGCCATGGCTGTGAATCACATCTGGGATGCCTAATTGAACTGCACACTTTAATGACATGGAGTTTATGAACTGGAAGATATGATTCCACACATGAGCTTGAGCTTGAAGAAGCTCATGGCTAGTAGCACTCACTTTATCATTACTCATTTATCTAAGTGTGTACGTTTATATGTGTAGCTCAAGAACACCGATGGCTCTCTTATTAAAGTCTTCTATACTGGGGATCTGCTTATATAGTCGTTGCCGACAACACAATCCACATCCCAATTATTTAAGTAAATAATACTAGAAGGGGCTGTACTTATATGCTAATGAGAGTATTTTTGCTCACCACTTTAACTCAATGTGTACCCTCATTGCCCATCTTAAATGTTGACATGTGTACAAAGGTGTAACCATAGTTAATTTTTATTTTATTTTTATTTTTCTGATGACATTATTATGAGAGTGAAAAAAACAAAAATCCTTTTAATAAAATTTAATTACAGAAAACCCAAAAACCCAACAGCCACCAGCCCCACGCACCCAACCAATCTGGTAAAATCCGCCGGCAGCTACCTTCTCTCCTCCTTGCCGCCAAAAATACCTCAGCAACCACGCACCCAACCAATCTGGTAAACTCCGTCGGCAGCGACCTTCTCTCCTCCTTGCCGCTGGAAATACCTCAGCAACCACAGCCACCGTTCCCCTGCAGCAATCCAAAATCAGCCGAAGATGGCGAGGTAAGAAGAACCAAAACCGAGTCCAAGAGACCCAAAACAGAATCCAAGAGACCCAAAAATCCGAGCGAGAGAGTTGTCCGATCCTGTTAAAGTTGAAAACAATGGCACAAGCAGAGACTCCTATTCAGCCCCAGATTCCAATCCGTTGCTGCCATGGCCGATTGGAAAGAAGAGAGACTTCTAATCGCAAGCCATGTTGTCGATGCCTGAGCGACAAGTTAAATACAAGAAACATTCTGATTTGCCTTGAAGGCCCCACCAACCAATTCAACAAAATGCTAAACCTTCCTGAGTTTTTATTTCTTAAAAATTGATAATCGTTTTAGTTTCTTGTTTTGTAAAAGATATGTTGACTGGGGCGTGGTGGTGAACGAGGTGGGGGAGGGAATGGTGGCTGGGTGCTGCACTGCCGGGGATGGTGGCTAGGGTTGTTGTTCTTTCTTTAAAATGTTATTATTATTATTATTATTATTTGGTTTTAAATACTTTAATAAATTTAAAATTTAAAAGTTAACTATGGTTATAACTATAGATATGTGTCAACTTCTAAAAGGGGTGGTGATGGTACACTTTGAGTTAAAGTGGTGAGCAAAAATGCACCCTTTAAGTAAATGTCTATGTCATTTTACTTTCATTTATTTTTATATTACTCCATTTACCTAAGTTTACAATGTAAATAAAGAAGTACCCCCTATTTGGATTCAAATAAAATACTAGAAAATAAAAGGGAGTTTCACTAAAACACCCAAAATGGGGGCTGAAATTATAAAAAAATCCAACACCTAAAACACTTTATAAACACACCCAAAACTCATCATTACACACACTCAAAACCCATTTATAAACACACCCAAAAAATATACAATTGTTGATTTTGGGATTGATTTTGGGTGTGTTTCTATGTTTAAATAGTGTTTGGGTTTTTTTTATAAATACATGTCTAGGATTGGGTTTATTTATAAATTTGTAAAAATAAAATTCCCACCAAATCAAAATATGAAAAATCGATTTTAGTGCAAAATAAGATTTAGGCTAAAAATGATGGCTCACTAAGTCAATATATACTTCATACGAAAATCTCATAAAATCAAGTTTTCTTATTTGATGTGTAAGGAATAAAAGCTGCCAAAAATTATCTTGAGAAAATGATTATTCCGAAAAACCATTTTTCATACTTAGTCAATATTTTTACATAAAACAAATTTTCATGTATGATATGAATGCATGAAGGGATCTAAGGTCAATGTAGGTAAAAAGCCTTAGATGTTCAATCCACAAAAAGTTTTTAGCCTTTCAAAATTGCACCTCCGTTAAAAAATTTCTGGGTCAGCTAGTGCTACCACACCAATAGTCATAGTCAAAGGTCTTCCACTTTTGTATTTGGTGTTAAAGTTTGTCCCAAACATCAATTTTAATCCTTTTCCATTAATGCAACTCCAAAAGAAAAGCATTTTTCTAAATAAAATTCACAATGTTGTGAATAATATGGCTCTAATTCCATTTTTTTTTTCTTCTTGTGTTTACAACTAGCATGATTTATATGATTTAATGTATACTTTTATTTCTAGGAAAACTATAGAAACTGTTAGTACCCAAAAAAAAAAATTATTATTAGATTTTAAGCTAATAACTTTAGCTATCCCACCTATTGAAAAATTCTTGATTCCGCTTTTGTGCGTATGTTGTAACAATAATATGAATGCCTCTAAATTCTAAGTACGTACATGACTGTACTTTTTCATGCACACTTTAAGCGTGATTATGGAATGAGAGTGATGGGTTTCTTAATCGAGGATTTGATTTGGTAGATGATGTATGAAGATTTTATGGATTTAGATCCTGCCAAAAACTATAAGATTAATTTTATCAATATAATGTCGGTCGATACCTAATAATTGATATGGAATATCATAATTATTAGAAGACTCCAATATTACATGCAGGGGGCCAGGGGCAGAGTTAAAAGATGTTTCGTCCAGAAAAGAAAGTCATCCAAACATAGTATAAAGCGTTGGAATTATAAAATTCAGACAAGACTAGTGCAGGCCAAACCAAGCAAACACTAAAAACATGCATATGCATATGAAGCATGTGGGACCAAAACAGCTAGCTATTCTTCTGTTCTTTTTCTTTTTTCAATTAGCTTTCGCTATAAGTCAATCAGTGTGTGATGGTCTCCTGTTACTCCACATACGATATTTATGAAAGATATTTGAAATTTTTCTTGCAGAATTGGGAAAGCACTATATCGGATGAATGATTTGTGAGCATGGAATTAATAATGGGAACTATACATTAACACATCTGCCACACGCTTTCTCGAGTTTGACCATGTAAGTTCTTTGTGTCATTAACCCTTAATCAATTGTATATAGCTAAATACGAAACATGTTAAAATCGATTATCACTTTATTAGACAATATTTGGTTGCTAAGCATTTGGTCATTGTCTAAATGTAATGACACGAGCAAAACCGAAGATTATTGGAGGAAATTGCTCTCAATCACATGTAAGAAAAGGATCTATTCCTAATCACACATTGATTAGAAACAGACGGCATCATTTCAAGCAGGTTCCAAAAGAATTCACCTCTACCAGGCCCATAGAGAAATTTGGCTGAGCATTGGCCAAATACTTATGAACCCAGGCAAGACCATATAAGGGAATGACTGCGTAAACATTCTAAGACCTTGTCATTTTGATGGACTACGTAACCTGATCACATACAAATCCCTTGATAATAAAACACACACACCATAAAGAGAATAAGAAAACACACAAGAACAAAAAGATTTATAATGTTCGACCTCGTGCCTACATCTTCTTGGTGGTCCACCCAAGAAATTCACTAGTATGTAAGAACAATTTTCGTTACAATCAAGAACCACCTTAGCTCTCGCAAGAACCCTAACTCTCTTTTCTCTCACCCTTGCTCAAACCCTTTGATTCCCTTATGAACACCCAAGAATTCCCTTTTAAATTCTCTTGTTACTGTCTCTTCTAAATTCCCCGACCTCTCTTTGGCTCAGTTAACATAACCCCAAAAGTCCTTTTTATAATGCATAGGACTTGGGTTAAAAGTTAACTAGGAATATGAAACTAAAATCCTATTTAATTAGGTTAAGGAACCCCGATAAAATAGGAAAGCCACGTCAAAACTGCTGAAAAAAAAAAACCCACATTCAGCATGCGAACAAAATAAGGATGAATACACAGCATCGTCGCGACCCACTAGAAGAAACTGATTGATCGCATGGCCATTGCGATCAATCGCCTCCTGCGTAAACTTCCCTGCTGCTCCTCTCTTGCTGCCGCTGATTTCCTCTTCTTCCAGCATCTATGGTCAGCCAATCTCGAGCTCATAGGCCGCTATAGTTTGATTGAGTACCGGCCCAAGAAACACACTCATCAAAGCCATTAACTATCCCACGACACATAGTTGACATGATAAGCGGGATAACTGGTCTTAACAAAACCTAGAAAAACCTTCTAGTATATGTTACCATGACTCGTACTTGTGACACTTAATCTCCAAACACAGATATTGACAAACCTCTTATGTTGACAATCAAGAACAGAATCATGGGATGCACATGAATAAGGATTGCATGAGGTCTAGGCTATAGTACTTGGAAAAACCTGGGACCTATCATTCCAGACCCTGATAGACATGTTGTTGAAGAATGGAGGAACTAAGGGGGGAGCCTCGTCTTCTAGAGGCTCGCATCTTGAACCTCGTGCAATCTAACTTTGGCAAGACAACAAACTGATCGATATACACAAGCATTTGAAGTCGATCCAGATGAAACTCTCTCTCTATAATAACACAACTCATAAAAATAACATTAATAACTAGGCAAAAAGTTACTTTGGGTCTATCTGGTTTACCACTTTTACCACGAAAGTTCTTGTTGTTTCAATTTCATTGTTATTACCCTTGTGGCTTTGAATTTAAGCAATTCAATAACAGTCTCCAATTTATGTCAAACTCGAGTAACTACTGTTACTTGTCAAGGAGAATTTCGGTACAAAAAAAAATGCTGGAAATAGAAGAAAGGGAAGGCATTTACCTCCCCATTCCCACCTTCCAACCAAGTTGCCTAGCCAACTCTCTCATCACGACCACCACCAACCCTCCCCCACCACAATTAAAATCCGGGGAATTCACTATTGTACTCAATATAGGAGCCCAAATTATAAAAACACCATATATGAAATGAACTTTAGAAATACACCCAAAGTCCATTTACAACATAACAAAAAGACTTTTAACTTCTTTTACATTACAAAACTGCCATTGATTTCTAAAACAAACCCAACCCGAAAGTCTCATAAAAAAAGCCTCAAACACCCAATAGGGTATCAAAGTAATTTAATAATCAAAATTAAATTCCATAGGGCCAGCTGTCATTTTGTGGGTGTTTTTTGGGTTTGTTTATAGAAATTAAATGGTACATGGTTGATC